ACACAATAGAATAGAAAAAAATATCTAGATTTTTTCTTGAGACTTTTGATTTTTTTGAATTCATATACATAAAATATAGAGCTTGAAAGCTTCAAAAATCGATTGAACGCCGGAAAAAAGTGGAAAATCACCTGAATCCGATCGTTTGAAAGCATTCAACTGCGCGAAAAGCAGGCGAGTTATGCTAATCTGAACGGGAAAACCTGCGCTTTCGAGAGAAAGTTTTTTTTTTCCTTTTTCTTGAGGTTTTTTGGATTCATATCACTATTTCACAATATGAAATAAATTTCGTGAACTAAGTTCCGATGAATCATAGGCTGTATATTAAATAGTGATGATCTGACCGAAAATTCTGGATAGAGAGTTTAAAGGAGCATAGAAACTTCCGATATAGGCCTCAAGGAGATATTTCTTTAGATACTGTATGTTTGAGTAATTAAGAACAGCGTTTTCTTTGATGGGAATTACTGAGAAACGACGAAAGAAGAAAATGAGTTATTTTAGGTTACTGTAGATTCCGAGATACGCAAACACTAAAGTCACGTAAACATTTCATTTGACGCGCAGTAAATCTCTCAAATTTTCTGTGATTTTCCTTCATGTTTCGTGGTGGGATTAAAATAGCCTTGCGGAATTTTACTTTCTAAGGTGTTCTATGAAAATCATGTTACAAATCTTTTATGATGAAAAATCAATGTGAGCAATAAAAATTTGCAATAAATTGATTATTGAATGGTTGGAAGGGCGAAAGACAAGAAAAGAACAATGGCTGAGGCGAAACAAGCTGGCGCACGGATTTACAATGTGTCCGCGTGTGTATGTGTGCCATTGTGACGGATCAAGAGCTTTTTGGGGGGGGTCACAAGAACCTTTCAAGGGCCTCTCTAATCTGACTTGCGATGGGCAGAGCTGTTCACTGACAGATTGGCGTCGGATTGGAGGAGAATGGATGGGAAATTGTGAGCTTTGAGAAAAAATCTAAGAAAATTTTAGTTTATTTTTGATGGATTTACTAGATTACGGTTTTTCTATGAAGAAGAGCGTTGGGAAATGGAAAGAAAGCTCAAAAAATTGAAAAAGACTGAATTTGAAAGTTTTTTTACTGTAGGATCAGAGCGTGCAGACACGCCACGGTCACCTAGGCATTTAAAATTACGCGCAAAGTTGCTTTTTTTGTCATTTTTTTCAATGATTATTTTTTTAATAATTTGTTTTACTGCTTTTTTTATATGTTAGATTGGGAAGCGAGACATTTTTTTTGAAGCAGAACGAGTGAAGGACAAGCTTTCTGTGATTTTCTGTGATTTTAAACTTTTTCGAATAATTTTTAAAATTTTCCGTTTTCTTTTCGAACATTTTAAGCTGTTGATAATTTTTAATGTTTTTTATTGAAACTTTTCCATTGTTTAGTATGATTCTCTGAGGAGCATTTTTTGCTGAATATTCCCGTCGAACATCAAAAAATAAAGATCTATGTTTCAATTAACTTTTTTTTTCCATTCTGCGATGTTCTAGAGAAATTGATTTAATTGTTTTGATGAAAGTTTCTTTAACCTTTTTAAATCAAGTTTACTGCTGATAATTGTTTGGGTGAGTCGAAGGTAAAGAATACTTTTTTTAATCAATTACTGAAAAACAGTTTCGTAATTTTTCTTGAAACTTGGTAATTTTATAAATATTGTTGAAGGGTTTTATAGCAATCGGATGGTATGAAAAAATAGCCAGCGGAATTTCAAAAGGCGACTTTTCCGATTTTTTCGTATCGCTAGGGAACTTTCCGACGGCCACCTTTTCGCCGAATCCCTTTCCGACTTTTTTTCCTTATATTTTTTTGGTTTATAAAAAAATCTATTAACATTTTTTTATTAATTCGTTGTGTTTTTAATCATGAATAACTTTCCTACTTTATATAGGAAGGTTTAAAACGAAGATTTTATCCAGAAAAAAAAGTCGGAAAAAAATCGGCAGAAAGGTGGTCATCGGGAAGTTCTCTAGCGATATGAAAAAATCGGAAAAGTCGCCGTTTGAATTTTCGCTGGTCATTTTTTCATACCACCAGCAATCGCGGCATTGAAATGTCAACGTGAACCCTAAAGGGCTCACTAGGAGCTGAGATTTAAGGATTTGATAGGATGTCCGTGCCTTAATGATCGGTACTGTAGTTCTTCATCCAGTCCCGTGTAGTTATAAATAACCCTATTTCATGTGATATCTGTTTCCGTGAAAGTAGTTTTCCGAGTACCCTAGAACTAATTGGGAAGAGTTGCAAGCCGACGGCGGCGGCGGAAGCGGGACGCCACCCCCGTATCTGTGGCTCATCTCCAGGCCAAAACATATTCAAGCGGCGCACACACATGTATCGCCCCTGGCAACCGAGCTTCTTCTGATGATATCTTCTCGTTATCATTTATCATTCTCATCTCATCTTCCGCCATACTCTCTAACACTTGGCTCTTTCTTGAAAAAGGGAACCAATGATGCGTGGGCACGAGAATTCCTCATTGGCCGGATCTTTTTTCTTAGTTGTTATATTTTTTGGTTTTGAGGTCGTTTTGATCTCCTTAAGAACTTTTTGAGGAGAACTCACGTGGCTCTTGAGAAAATTACGGCTTATTCACGTTCTTATTTGTGTTCCGTTTCATTTGAAAGCTCATTTTTATCTTTTCATTGTTATTTCTGCAACTTGATGCTATTTAGAACTTCTGATGTCACTTGCTTCTTTTCGGAAACTTCTGACTGACCTTAGGAAGAATCGAATATGTTTTAAGTGGATTTTCAACTATTCATCGATATTTCTCAATCATTGTAAGCACTGAAATTATAGTTTGAAAGTTTTAAATATATTTTTTAGGTAATTCTCAAACATCTTAGGTATTTCTGGTCTTTTTCAACGTTTTAGTTCGTTTTTATCCTTCGAAACTTTTCAAGTTTATTTTTTTTCACGATTTTCAGTATTAGTTTATCATTAAAACTGCTCTAACCAAGTATTTGGTTGTCTTATTAACATTACGAGGGTTTTTTTTTCGGAATTTTTTCCCTTTCTTGATTCAAAATAATCTCCTTGTCCCTTTCTCCACTCCGAATGATGAAATTTAGTAGCTTGATGGATCTTTTTCAAGACCCACGTGACTTTTCTTGCTCCGTAAAAATTATATACTTTGATTTTTTAAAGTTGTATATTACCATCATTTTTTCTCTGGGATAGTTCTACAATGCATTGGATGCTGCTAATAAGACTATTTCTTCATTTTCCATAATAATTTCATTTTTTTTTTTTTGAATTTCGGAATTTTTTCAAATTCTTCGTTTTTCAGTTATACTAACAACAGCATCTTTTAGGATCTTTTGTTGAAATTCTCGAGTTTTAAAGCCTGTAAAATAAATTTTTGTGTTTTTAATGAATCTTGAAGCTCTAACATGTAAAGTCCAAATATTACCTACCTGGAAAAATAAACGAATCTCTTGTTATAATCACATTTTTAATCAGGTTCAAAAGCTCATTTTTGTTTATCCGCTCGCCCTTTTCATCAATTCTTTTTGCCCCAAATCCCCCGGCGACTTCATTAAGTTTAGAGGAAATTATTTTCCGAGTAGACGAGTTTTTAAAGTGCCAATTCTATCTCGAAGCGGCCCTAGACATGTGATTGTTTAGTTCATAATTAATTGGTTTTTAAAATTGGCTTTTGAATTTTTAAAGTTCGATTTTTGGTCTATCGCTGATTATCTGGAATGATTTTTAGTTTGAACTTTTAAATTTGTAGATTTATCATGAATCTTGGATAATCATTCAAAAATCCATCTTTTGAAAATTGAATCAGCTTCAAATTCGACAGTGTTTTTTTTAGAAAATGCGCATTTTTTACTATTCTAATAGGTGTCTATTATGCTTAATAATATTTTAATCTTTGAAAACTTCAGCTTTTTTCAAGATTTTTCAGAAGAAGTATATTAGGATCCCTTCGGGCTCGGGACATTTTTTTTTATCATTTTACTGAGAAAAACAACCTTTTTAGACCATTCTTCTCTACGAAAAATGAAAACTTATGTTGTCTGATTTTTTTTTCAAATGTTACTTGAGTAAGGCTTAGGTTCTAAGTTTCATTAAGGAAAACTTCATTTTTTTCAAACTCAGCCTAAGAATTTACAAAGTGCTTTTTTCCGGACTAGAAAATTCAATATATGCCTTTTTCAAATGATGCTATTGACATAATTTTTACGATTTCAAATCTTTGATTTTTTTTTCCTTTGCAGGGTTCTATAATCCCCTGATTAATGGGGCTGTTAACATTTCTATTTTTGATAATAATACGTGACTTTTTTGGGATTTTCACGGATTTGCTAAATCTGTGTGAAAAGCTGTTTTTGAACGCGACTAGGGATCATTTTATTCTTCCTGGAGAGGTTTATGACAATTCTCAGTCACTTTTTTTTTGAACTGTTTTTTTTTTTCTTTGGGTTTTTTTAAATTTTAGGAGACTTTTACCTTGAAAAAAATGACTTCAGTGTTTCTTTATTCAATTACTTTTTGGAATAAACAGACTTCAGTTCATTTTTTTATTAACTATTTGCGATAAATTTTCAAAAAAAGTCTTCCTTGAATCTTTTTTTACACGTGTTATAGTCTGTTCAGATTTTGAATGTCAAGTCCTCGCTCAAGCTCCGCCCCTAATGTCGCGATAAACCAATCAAAGAGCGAGCCATCCACAGAGTGTTTTTGAATGGCGTCATTGAACTTGACATTGAAAATCTGAACAGACTATGTAGTCCATTCCGCGCCAGCCTGGTATTTTTCCTGCAAAATACCGTATACCTGATTTTGACCAAACTTCGCTTCGAGACCCTGCGATCCTATTTGCAGTTTTGTAGGGCGAAAATTCCCAAAAGCTGTAATACGGTAGCTTATTTTCTGCGGTGCAATGACCGTCTCACGCTCTTTTTTATCAATAATTGCGAAAAATTGAGGAAAAAATGAGACGTAGTGAATAATTGATTCAGACGTGATGACGTCGACGAGCGTCGCGATCGACGACGAGTCGACGTCGACGTCGGCAGCCGGGCCGTCTTCTTCGACGGGCCAGCCCAGGAAACGATCGGCTCGCCCTCTAACAGGTGAACTGAATTGTTTGCATTGGAATCATCATTTTCTTCAGTATCGAATCTCCGAATGCGTGCCAGAGCCGCAGCGGAACAAGATGGTGAGCCGACGCGAGTTATCATCAACGTCGAAGAGGAGAATGTCGCCGAGCAGGACGAGCCTTCGACTTCTGCCGAGGTCATCGAGGTGCCCCTGGAGCCGAATGAAGAACAGACCGTCGAAGAGACCCCAATGACAGTCCCCAACGGGAAACCAGAGACGAATGGACTCCCGGCAGGCGCCCCTGCGGTCTTGCCTCCCACGTCAGCCGCTTCCAAATTCTCCTTGATGACTAAGGTGATTATTGGACGAGAAGTTGGAGTTTGATGTTGAAGGGATTTAGTTTGCGTTAAACAGTGAACGGGAGAGTTAAAGGAATATATATTGATGCTAATGTTCAAATTTTAAAAGCCGTAGCGCAAAAGGGTAGGTATCTGTCTACGGTCCAAAGGGTCCCAAGTTCGATCCCCGCCGCGGCCCAACCAAGAGTATAAGAAATGTTGGTAGTAGAGCAATAAAAAAAAACTCGGCTTTATAATCCACAGCCGTCTTCTACGAGAACGGATAGGTTACTAGAACCAGCTCACCGGGCGGTTTTGCGCAAAATTACAAATTGTGCTCACGGCGTGTCTGGTCTTACAGTAATCGAAAATTGGTGTTATGAAAAAAACACCAGCGAAAATTCAAACGGCGACTTTTCCGATTTTTCATATCGCTAGGGAACTTTCCGACGGCCACCTTTCCGACGAAATTTTTTCCGACTTTTTCCCTTATATTTTTCTGTTTATAAGACATCTATTTACATTTTTTTTTTCCTATTTCTTTGTGTTTTAATCATGAACCAACTACCTACTTCATATAGGAAGATTTAAAACGAAGATTTTATCGAGAAAAAAAGTCGGAAAAAGATTTGTCGGAAAGGTGGCCGTCGGAAAGTTCCCTAGCGATTTGAAAAAATCGGAAAAGTCGGCGTTTGAATTTTCGCTGGTGTTCTTTTCATACCACCCGAAAATTATCAAAATCAAGTTTTTTTTTTTCCTTTTCATTCAGTCGCCCAACGTTCTTCTTTGTAAAAAAGCTGTTATCTCGTAATTAAAGCCAAAAGAAACTTAAAAATACTTCCAATGTTTCGAAAAATGAACGCTTGCGTTCGGTGTACGGCCAATGCGCACGCTTACGAACATTGAATTTTTCAAAACAATAAGAGTTTTAAAAAACAAAAAACGAGACGAAGGCATGGGTTTACCGTAGACAGAGCGTGAAAAAAATGAAGCCGTTGAAATTGATAAGTTTTATTTAATATTCAATGATTTTAGAGAAAAACAATTACTCGAGTGTCATTTTCGATTTGATTCCGCGAAATTGAAAAAATGCGAAAAGATATCTAAATTTCGGAAAATCAGAGATAAGTTCGAATTTACTGGAAACTACTTCTGAACACGGCATAGATGAAGTTTTTTAGAGCATTTCGTCTGAAATTTAAGAGTGATCAAAATTTTCTTCTTTCAAACTACCAAAATAAGAGGGAGAAAAAATAGCCTACTTCAATTCTTCTCTTCAAAATCATGCGATTTGATAAATAAAACGAGATAAGTGAGGCGGGGATTTCCCACTCAAAGAAATCCCATCACAATAGCCTCATCGTTGGCTTTTCCTTCATTTTACCTCTCTTTTTTTCTTTTTTGTTATTGATTTTTTCAGCTCTTACGGCGGAAAAATCGGGTTCATAACACGGAGTCAACAGAGCAAAGCGAGTTCATGCAGGTTTTAAAAGATTTTAAGAAGAAAAAAGAGATAATTTTTTAGAAATACGGTGTCGGCAATGGTACGGGTCCACAGGAAGCGGCGGCTCCTGATAATGAAGCTATCCAGGGTAAAAATATATTTTTTTTCAGATCTTTTTTTCTCGGTTTTTTTATTTGAATCATATGTATTTTTTTGGCTCCTGGAGTTACTATTTTTTTGGCGAATCGATGGTTTAAATTCGCTCAATATTTTTCAATTAAAAATTATTGTATATATTGCGTCAAGAATAAGCTTATGTGTCAGGCTGGTCTGGGCCGGCCCGGGCTTCGGGCATAATTTTTGCATAAAGTCCTGCCCGGGCTTGCGCCAAAATTTTTGGATTTTATTATAAAGATTTTCAGCCTGAAACAAAGTTTCTACCAAAAAAGTTTTATATCAGTGAAATCATAAATTCCGTCTTGAACTTGAAGTTCAAAAAATAGCAACAAATGTGATCTTTGTCGTATGAAAGCTTGATATTTTACTTTTAAAAAAATTTGAGCTTTATTCCGGCCAATCTTTTCATTAGAACCTGGCGAAGGTCGGGCCGGGTCGGGCTTAAAAGATCGCCCGGGGTCGATAGGCTGATGGGCCGACCCTCGCAAAAGCCTGTTCAAAAACGGTGCAAGATGAATAATCCATCTCTAGCGAAATATCTCATATATTTTCCCTCAAACTCAATTTTCTAGGCCCAAGGTGGAAAAGGTATCGGCACACGTACAAAACCTTCACGGTCGACCCGGCTTCCGATAGATATTATTATTGGAATGTGGTTGTGAGTTTCAGTTGGAATTTATTGAAAATTATAATTTTTTTTAAACCAAATTTGATGATTTAGAATGTTTATAGTCACAAAAAAATGTTTTTACGTTATATTTCAAGCTTTTATCCTACAAAATTTAATTTTTTTTGCAGGTATCTGTGGCATTTGTCTACAATCTCGTGTTTGTCATTGCCCGGCAGGTTTTCACTGATTTAATCGGTCCAACCGGCGTTTCCCTATGTACTTATGTTGATAGATCTACCATTTTCAATAGGACAACTGTCGTGGAATGCACCATCGAAATGTTGACCAATATGAAGGTGGATATGCTTTTTTCCCTTTGAAAAAGCTTTTGTGAAAGCTTCAGGATTAAACACGTTGATTAGAGTTTTTGAGAAAAAAAATGGAACACTTTTTCCTGAAAACTTTTTAGGAGTTAAAAAAATCAATTGAAAGATTGAGCTACTGGAAAATTGCAAGAAAAAAACCTGACTGTTTTGTGATTTTTTTCATTTTAAAAATTCTTGAAAAAAAGGCAAAAAAATAATATTTTTTTATTGATTTTTTTGGTTTACTGTAGGTGGGAAGTACGCATTGACAGGTGTTCACGTACCAAACTTTTCTACACGCGCAAAGTAGCTTTTCTTCTCTTTTCTTCTCTTTTCTTTTCTCTTCATTTCCTTTTTTCTTATTTTTTTAAACTCTTTGGACTACTTAGTCAATTTGAAATTATGTTCTTTGATCTTTTGAATGGATATTATTCTGATAGATGGTTCTCATCAATTTTTTGAATATAATTTTTTAAAGTTTTCATCTAAAATCGGACTTTTTCAGGAAATGCCGGTGGTCAAACCTTACGCGGATATGGGTTGGAGTGAACATGTGATAACGAGAGGCCTTTGGTTCACCGCAGACGTTTTAATGGACCTCATTTATTTATTAGATATTTTTGTACGCACGAGAACAGGTTGGTTATTGGAAAAATGTGTCAATTTTTCAAAAAACGACAAGCTTGACCTTGTGAAAAAGCAAAAAAAAAGAATGGGCCGAACCGGGGATTGAACCCGGGACCTCTCGCACCCAAAGCGATAATCATACCACTAGACCATTCGGCCGACGGTGATTCCATCAATCTTTTGATGGGATGTTCTCTCTCGGCGCTGCGCGTATCCTTTTTTGGATCTGTCCAAATATCGGGAGAGAAGTCTCTCCAGTCTATCTTTCGATTCTGAGATCAGAAAAAAGACGAAAAAATGTGTAACTTGTTAAGTAAAATTCAAAAATCGTAATTTTGGCCTTTAGGAAATGGAATTTAAGAGGACATGTACAAGATCTATCATAGAAAAGTGATAATAATGATTTCGTAGTTCTGAAATTTTCGAAAGTTATAAAGAATTTATAAGTTTTGTTTTTTTTTTCAATCCAAATACAGTTGAGCTGATGAAATTCTGTTGAGGTTTTCTAGGATTTTGGCTTAGGTTTTTTTTTCCGAGAATCGAAAATGTATTTTTGCAGGTTACTTGGACCAAGGTTTGGTGGTCCGAGATGTCGACAAAATCAAGAAGATTTATTTCGCCAGCACTCAGTGGAAGATGGATTTGGCCTCCATTGTTCCATTGGATTATATCATTGGTTTATAATTTTTCTGGTCGCGCTCAGAATGGCTCAACGCGTTGCGGTTGCATTGCGGTTCAAGTTAGAACTTCGAACTGCATTCTGGCGCCAGAGACTTTTTAGTTTTTATTTGCCGAGGCGGAAGTCGTTTTAGGTCGCACGCTATATTTAACTTTTTCGCAACCTTAAGCGTTGAGCCATTCTCAGTGCGTATCCAAATATATAACAAATGGACTGTTTTCGTATAATTTGTTTTCAGGATGGCCCTGGCCGATTTCTTGGTTCAGGGCGTTGCCGATTATCCGCGTAAATCGATTATTAAGAGTTTCAAGGGCTAAAGATTGTATGGAGAGAACCGAGACGAGGTGAATGGTTCAGAAAAACTTTCCTGACAACATTTAAATCGAACATTTTTTTCGTATATTTTTCATTTTTGAACGAGGTGTTTTTTTAATACAAATATCATATCAACCAGCATGGGAAAAATCTTTAAGAGCTGATTTTTTTCAATTCGAGGGCTCTAACAAAAAGTTTTATTCAAGAAATAACCTTTTTGAACTAAATTTTTGCAATTTTCGGGTAGCAGATTTGTACTTTTTTTTGACGATGTGCCCATTTTTTTTTACCTTTTTTCATATCTAGATGAATTGATCCTTCGTCTTTTTTTCCGAATCGGGCTTTTTTGCCACGGTTTTGCGCTTAACTTCCGTTTCAATTTTTCACGAATCAGAAATATGGAAATATTCGGACGTCTGAAGGTGCAATGGAGTGAAAGAATGTTTTCAGTAATTATTGAAAATGTTCCTCAAAAGTTTCTCTTTTATTGAGTCTTCTTCTAAATCTCTCTGTTCTTCATAAATCCTTCCAAACAAGTTAATTCTTTTTCCAGAAGTTCCATGCCAAACGCATTTCGTGTCCTTGTTGTCGTTTGGTACATCGTTATCATTATTCACTGGAACGCCTGTTTTTATTTTTGGATCTCTGAAACAATTGGTCTCGGCTCGGATATGTGGGTCTATGGCCATCTCAACAAGCAGAGCCTTCCGGAGTGAGTTTCTTGATTTTAAGGTTAAAAAAGGGGTTTTAAGCGTATTTGAATAGGAACTGCTCAATATTTGAAGAAAGTGTTCTGTTCAATCTTGTGAAAATTTAATTGATTCAAATGTTCATAACCAACTTCACGGAGCTCTAGGACAAAGGGATTATTATTGATTGAATTGGAAAAAAAAAGTTTTTCTGATATTTTATTAGTTTTCAGCTTTTCAAGCGTAACAACTGGGTGATTTTTTTAGTTTCTCAACATAAAAAAATATCATATTTTTAGATTATTAAAATTGAAATTTTTTTACGAATTCGTTCCGAATACAGCCTTCGGTGGTCCAAAGAAGATAGATTTGAAATTTTTTTTAAAAAAATTTTTTTTGAGAAATATTATCATTTTTTTCCCTATAACATTATTTTTTTCAGCGATGTCCCTGATACACTGGTTCGACGTTATATTTACAGTTTCTACTGGTCAACACTGATTTTGACGACTATTGGAGAGGTCATCTAGAAATTTTGAATCAAAAGAAAAATTGTGAAGACAGTTTAGGTTTAAAAAAACGTCAGTTTTACGATATTTAGGGCGTTTTCTAAAGCAAATTTTAGCCTTTTTTGACCTTTTAGAGTTGAATTTTTATCATTTTCAGTAAAGATTAACGTTCTCAATCTTAATAATGTGATTTTTCAAGCGTTTATGAATTTTTAATGTCGATTATTAAGCATTTTCAACTTCTCGGGTAAAGTCGGACTGGTGGATAATGAGAGAGGCTCCAAAAAAGCCGCAGAACGGCAGCAATAAGAGTATCTTTATCGAGCCTTTCATTTTTTCTAGGGTTCTAAAGGCTCAAGAAAAAAAAGGGAGAGGCAGCAAAAATGGTGCGTAAGGGCCGAAAAAACGGCGCAAAAAGGCAACAAAAAAGGAGCTCTTGTCACCCTAAAAAACATTTAATGAAGCCCTTTTTCACCCTTTTCGACTTTGCCTATGCTTTTCGTTTAGAAATTATATTATTTCCGACTTTTCTCCATCAAAATGAACGAAAAACGTTAATTTTAGGTACCCAGCCCCGTGCAAAATATCGAATTCGTCTTCGTCACGCTAGATCTTATGTGCGGCGTTTTGATTTTCGCTACCATCGTCGGTAACGTCGGCAGGTATCGAACCAGTGACCCTTCTGGCGAAGGAGCCGACCGCTAATCACTCGGCCATTTGCAGCATGATCTCGAACATGAGCGCCGCCAGGACCGAGTTCCAGAACAAAATGGACGGAATCAAGCAGTACATGGAGTTGCGGAAGGTCAGCAAGCAGGTAAAAATAATCATATTGAGGCGATTTTAATAGAGGATTTTTAGCTCGAAATTCGGGTCATAAAATGGTTCGATTATCTCTGGGCCAATAAGCAGTCGTTGAGCGATCAGCAGGGTGACTTTTCCTTTTTTTTTTTATTGGTTTTTTGAATTTTTTTTCCAATAAATTGATGATTATTAGTTTCTGAAAGTACCGAAAATCAATTTTTTCCGTTTTTTGTCAATGTTTTTCTTGGATAGGAACCAGCAATCACTAGAATACCAGCTGGAGCTCTTAGCCACTTTACCAACTTTCAAATTCAAGAAATTTACGCTTTGTGACTTTAAAATGCTTAAAAAACAGAGTAGAAACAGTTGAAGAGTGAAAAAGTACTGAAAATTGGTTAATTAAACTTTTTTTGTTGATATTTTGCCCTTTTTGCGGTGAGATTTGAACCTCTGAGACTAAAAAAGTGATCGAAGCTCTTAGCCACTCAGCTGAATTTTTTCTAAATTCGAAAGTAATTCAAAAAGTTTCTCCAAGTCCAAAAATGAGCAGAGATTTTTGAAGTTTGAGCTGGGCTTTTTTTGAAATCCCACTGAATTTTGCTTTTTTTTTTTTTGGTCACTGGAATCCAACCTGTGACCTTTAGACAGGCTGCCAAGAATCTTAGCCACTTTGCCAATTTTTAAATGAAGGAAAGATACCCTTTTCAGCTTACGAATGGCGTAGAAGCAGTTGAAAAAGGGAAAAAACTTTTTTTGATTTTTAATTTCTGTTATTTGTGCTATTTTTCGCTGTGAGATTTGAACCTATGTCCTTCAGAATAATAGTCGAATCTCCTAGCCATTCAGCTGATTTTTTTCAAGTTCAAGATTTTTGTTATCCATTCCTAGAAGCCGGAAAATTCACAGTCGTGAGATATGAAGATTTAAAAAACTGGTTTTTTGTTCCGGTTGAATTTTGCAGTTTTAGTCGGTGGAGTCGAACCTATGACCTTCAGAAAAAACTGTCAAGACTCTAAGCCACTTTGCTAGGCTTTATAATTACGGTTTTCGCTTTTTATACAATGTAAAGCAAGGGTTAGCATTGAAAAACTTCATTCAAAATCATTTTCGCAAGTTATTTGTTCATTTTTAGTTCTCAAAGTGCTTCCCGACAAGCTCCAAGCAGAAATTGCCATGCAAGTCCACTTTGAAACCCTCCGAAAAGTCCGCATTTTCCAGGTTTCCTTGGATTTTTCCCAGATCCCACAAAATAATCATTTTTAGGATTGCGAAGCCGGTTTGTTAGCGGAATTGGTGTTGAAACTGCAGCTCCAAGTAGGAAATCAAAAAAATGTCAAAAAATTAAATAAATCTTGAGGTGTTCTCACCTGGTGATTACATCTGCCGGAAGGGTGATATCGGCCGGGAAATGTACATTGTCAAAAGAGGACGGCTGCAGGTGGTGGCTGACGATGGATTGCAGGTAAAATTTGAATAAAGAAGAAAAAGGCCGTGGTCGCACTTGGAATGGCTTACGAAGCGTGGCGGTCATGTCTTTTTGAGCATTCCATTTATTGAAAAATGGCGAACTTCGGGCCCAAAAAAATCCTTTCAAGCTTCAGAATTGATGGGGAAGGGCTATGTCAATTTATCAGAAATAATAATCTTCAAAAAAAAGTTTTTATGTCCTGATCCGGACAATTGAGAAGAGAAGTTTTCGAATTTTTGAACGGAAAGTTCATTCTCAACTTCAATTTCGCCTCTTAAACCAAGCCATTCCAAGTGCGACCGAATTTCCTGTCTTTTTTATGGAAATAAATTTATTGTAGTAGAAAAAGTATGTACTTTCTAATATTTTTTTGTCTTTTCAGATTTTCGCAACGCTCTCAGAAGGATCTGTCTTCGGCGAATTGAGTATCTTAAATATTGCAGGTAGGTTTGTTTATTCAATCTAAATTTCAAGCGAAAAGGAAGGATTTCCGTTTGGTAAGGGGAAAAAAACGAGCCAAAGTGACATTTTAACCATTTCCGTATTACTGTAGTTGTCAAGTACGCAAGGGCAAGTGTCCACGTACAAAACATTTTGATACGCGCAAAGTGGCATTTTTTTTGAATAATTTGTTTCTCGCTCATTTTTTCTATTTTGGTTAGTTTTCTTGAGTTTACTAAGAAGGTTTTTTTTCAGGAAGTAAGAATGGTAATCGAAGGACGGCCAATGTAAGATCAGTTGGTTACACGGATCTTTTTGTCCTCAACAAAAATGACCTCTGGAACGCGTTGAGAGAGTATCCGGATGCACGGAAGCTTCTGTTAGCTAAGGTTTTTGATTTATTTTTTTTTAATTGTGTTTTTGAACTACACCGGTTTGATACACTTGAGGTTAAAGTTTTGCATACGGATTTTTTTTTCGGGTTGATGTAATCATTGAAAATTTTTTTTTGTATGTTTTGCCTGCAGGTAGATGATGAGAAGTGGAAAATTTGTTTATGTGAGGGAGAACTTACAAGTAAAAAACAACGGAGTGTATATAGGCTAAGAGGAGAAATCTTGAAGAATGTGGAATGCTCCAGAAAAAAGATGAAACTCATTCCGCCTCAGCTTGTCCCGATTTTGATTCTCCTCCAAGGTAGATATCTTTCCGTTTAAACTCTCTCGTTACGCATCTTTTGTTCAGCCTAAATTGTCCGTTATATTAAAGGCGCATACACAAAGTCAGGCCACGCGCATCGAAGAGAAGCTTCTTGGAAGGATTTTAAAGCTTGGAGGAAAACAAAAATCGGGGCAAGCCTTTCGGGAAGCTTCCCTTCGATGCGTTCGGGTTGTCTTTCGATATGCGCCTTTAACATAGCGGAGGTTTTAGGCCAAATAAAAGGCGCAAGGCCGAAGAGAAGCTTTTTGGAAGGGTTCTGTAGCTTGAAGGGAAGAAAAATCGTGACAAGCTGGCGAAAATGTTTTAATGAAGACCGCCATAAAGAACAATCAGAGATTTTTTTTGAGGAGAAACCAATAAGTTTTTGTGACCGTTTTAATAGTAACAGTTTATTCAATGTCATTATCAGACATTAGGGAATAAAAAAGACAAGAAAAGAAATATAGTCATGTTCATCTTATTGACGGGGGAAATAGCCAATAAATAATAAAATATGGCTCACTTTGCTGAAATCTGGTGTGGAGTCTCACTATCAAGAAAAAAGACTCACAATTCGGTTTTCAGGGTCGTGACATCCTGAAAAAAGACAATTTGTTGATTGAAAATGCGCCCGAAGAGCAACAATCGGTGGAAGAAGTGGCGGAGCAGCTCAACGCCTCGGTCAAAATCCTCCAACATAGGTTATTTTTGTAGACTTTTGAAATAAATCTTTGGGAAAATAGGCTAGAAGTATCAATAAAAAAATGATAGTGATAGAATTTTACAGACTATTTTTTCGAACGTCGATATTTGAAATTTTTGGTTTTAAAGTTGGCATTCTCATGAATATGTCTTAAAAATTGCGTTAGTTCCAGTTGAATGGGAAGTAAACTTGATGTAAACTTGATGGGTTTTTAAGAAAAGTAACTGAAAAATATTTATGCACAACTTTGTTGAAAAAAAAAACACTTCAAATTCACTTATTTGAGCCCTAATTGGTTTCTGTCACTGCCTTGCAATAGTTTTGATTTCGGAAAGTTTAAAAAAATCGAATTTTGCTTATATTAATTCTATTTTATCGAAGCTCTAGTTTTATTTTGAACACTAGCCACTTTGCCGCGGAGAAAACCGTGAAATTTGCCGAAAATGGCTCGAATCGATAGGCGGCAGCGTTGGAGGAATAACAAGACTGGAATGGCATCCAGAAATGGTTGCTCACGCAGAGCATGCACCAGTAGTGTAGCGGTATCATTGTACCCTCCCAAGGTACAGACCCGGGTTCGACTCCCGGCTGGTGCAAGACCTTTTTGCCATTTTATTATGAATGATAATTGATGGGAAGGGCTGAGAAAACGCATGGGGAAATGAGTTTTGGGTCATTTATCGTTTGAAATCTTTTTCTGGCTTATTTTCCCTTTATTTCTCATATTTTGAACACCACCGAAGTTAGGAAGAGTTTCAAAAAAGAGTCTTCAAAAAAATCTTTTTAAAGCTCTTTTTAGCGGTTTTATAGATTTTTGTTTGAGAAATTATACGAAAAAAAGTAAAAATTGTAATGAGGAAAAGATGAAAATCCCTTTAAAAGGAGTGAAAGGCCTATAAAAGCCTTCATTTTTGAAAACTATCGGCTTTAAAATCGTATTAATTAGGTCAGATTTTGTAAAGAAAAAAATTTTTTTGAATCATCAATTTTTTTGAATTGTCTAGGATCATCTTGCGCACATTATAGAGTTACAAGTATGGTCAATAATTTTTTTCTCAACCCTAATTTTATTTAATTTGATATATATATATTGTATGATTTGCAACTTTTCTTGTCAAATTTTCCATTTTTTTTTCTCATAATCCCATTTTCCTTGTAGAATGGCCCGACTCATCGGAGAGCATTCGAGCACCGAAACCAAACTGATGAAACGAATCGAAATTTTGGAAAAGCAACTCGCGAGGTGAGACTTGTTGGATGTGAAAGATGAATGGAACAAAGGAGGGGATGGATACCAAGAATTTCAATGGAACGCGAAAAGCAAGGCGCGCAGATGCTGTAAAAGAAACAAAGATGGGAAACCGCAGATGTGCTTTTTGAGAATTTTTTTTAGAGATTTTGAAGTTTGAATGTTTGAAAGTTCTGAAGGAACACTTTGAAATGCGCTGCCAATGGTTCTAAAGCTTTTACTTAAAAAATTCAAAAATTAGATATTGAAGGAATAAATATCTGCTGTTTTTGTAAAGTTTTTGATTGTTATAATGCCGTGGTCGTTGTACTTTCCATGAAATTCTCTGAAGCCCCAAAATTTAGTTATCTTTTTCACTTTCTGATGGCTATTTAGAATTTTGCAAAATTGAACACGGCATAAGCCTTATAAGAGTTAATTTTGATATGAAGAGAATTTTTTCATCGAACTTCAGCTTCATTTTTTGCTTGGAGAAGAGGAAAATCTTGATTTTCGTCGTGATATAGCTCTTGCTTTCATTTTAAAAATTGGGAAATCTCTTTTTCTTTGTGAATCTGTCCAGTCACTTTCTTTTGTCCTACGATTGGAACAAAAAAATTTCTCGACATTCGAAAATTTCTGGCTTTTTTGAAAGGTCAACGAGACCTTTAGGTTGAGTGCGAATGGACATCGCCATGGCCTATGATTCACGGTTACGTGTTTTCTTTTTTTTCTTTGGGAAAGTTTCTTGCGCTTTTTTGCTCGAAAGTATGGCGGGAAATGAAGAAGGACGCCTAGGAAATGAGAACAAATTATTCAAGTTTTAACATCAGAAATACGCATTTTATCAACATGAGAGCATCAGATCTAGAAAATTATGCAGATATTATTTTATTTTCAAGTTTAAAATCTAGATTTTGGCGGGCAAAATACACCACTAGGTCGTTTCTAAATGTAAAAGGATATTGAACTATGGATTTTCAAAGAAATTTCGAAAAAGGCAAGCTTTTGGGTGAAGCAATATCTGTTTTCCTCGTCTATACCTACCAAGCTACGATATCTTATTACATACGCATCCCTTCAAACTTTTGCGATTCATTACGATAATTGCGCAACGCCGGAAGTCTTTCTTCACATCTGGCGGAGGAGCAAAACTATAAGCTACCCCAGTCACTGTATTACAACGCAGAACGACATCGTTTTCGTTGGTAGAGTCTGCTCAAAAATCATCAAATTTACAAGTTTTTTTGGTTCCTGGGAAACTAGCATCCTTGTAAGATTTTCCTGCATTTCTAGTGGGCTTAGAAGCTAAATCGCGAAAAAAAGGGTTACCAGCGCCTTCTTGAAACTTTGGTAATGTAAACCAGACGTGCCTCGGACGTTTCTAGGCTTTTCTAGTGATCCCTCTAGCGTCAGCGCTCTTAAGTGTCTACTAAGAATGCTCAGAAAAATCCGGTTTGGGTTATCAAGGTCGCAGTCTTTGGTTATTGATTCCATATTCATTGAGGTCCATGGCTCTTCTAAACAGTCGAGGAAAGAATAATTAGGAAGATTTTTTTTATTTATTCAGTGCCTGACTTCTGTTCGCCAAGTCTTTGATGACCATACGAGTGCCCCCTCATCGAATCGTGAACTTCTAGGTACAAAGGCCTGGCCCGACGCCAGAAGAGCATCCACGGCGTGTCTCTCGACGGGTCGGACGCTTTTGATCGCTCGCGTAGCGGTCCTCGCCTCCGTCATCAGAAGACTCATGACGGCGGGGCGCCTTCTCGTCATCAAGATGAAACGGAGAAATTGTTGACTTCAGAGACCTCTGATGTGTGATTTTGGGGGTTGTGTGTTTGTTAAGGAGGGTTTGAGGTTACTGTAATTGAACTGTAAAATTGATTTCATTCGGTTTTTATATCCGATTGAACTCTTTGAGTGGAAATTCGAACTTTTGTGACTTCATAGACTGTCTAGACATTGATGAGCTAATCGAAACTCGATGCCAAGATAAATGGGAAAAATTATCGTCTCTAGAGCCTTCTGATGTGTGATTTGGAGCGTTTTGTCTTTGTTTAAGATAATTGGAGGCCTACTGTAGAAGACTTTTGTGAGCAAAAAGCCAAGAAGATAACGTCATACAGTTTTTGAATCTGACTTTAAATTCGAACTTTTAGGACTTCTTAGACATGACCTAAGTAAACTATGGCGAAAAAAATAAAACCGATAGTTTATTGCCCAATAAGCCCTTTGATGCTTGACTTTTAGAGTTATAAATAGTTGTTGAGGATGGTTTTTTCAAGCCTACTTTAGTCGGTTTAATAGTGAAAAAGGATCTGAAAGGTTTTTTTCATAAAAATGATGGCACCTGGTTGAATCTCGAGACTCTTCATAATTTTCGGGACTTCGAAAAAAATCTTATAAATCCCGAAAAAAAGAATTAATAGATGATAACTGAAAAAAATCTTTCAGACATTTTTTTAAAAGAACCCTTGTGTTGAAATACAAAAAAATAATGGATAAATTCCCTGATTTCCTAGTCAAAAAAATAGCTTTTTTTGGGCTTACTGTTAGAAACTAAACTCCTCTTCAAATTTGATAAGTCTTTGTTCGAAAAATAAAATGAGAAAGTCTAATCAAAATTCTCAAAAATTAATAATAAAATTCAAAACTTCATTGCGGGGATATCATACAAAAAAAATTTTCTCAAAAAAATCTCCGTGTCATTTTTTTCCCCTTTTCCTGTCTATTTCTATTGAACTGACCCATTATCACATTTTTTTTTCACTGTGAATTTTTTTCTCTTTGCGATTCCAAACTTCCTTGTGTCATTTTGGTCACTGAAAATTGTTAACTCGTCATATTTATCCTCATTTTTTGTGCTAGAAAGCAGATTTTGTACATTTCAACCGGGTATTTTTTCTGATTTTTCATGAATTTTACGTGATTGCTTCCATAAATTTATTTATTTTGAATATTCATTTTTGATTTGTGGATGAAAAAAGCCAGAAAAAAAATTTTGATGGGATAAATTTTAAAAAATTACAGAAATTTTCAGGATTTCAGTTCAAAAAATGAGCAGGATCACCTCTACAGAAGCAACATTGAAAGATTATTCGAGGTTATTTTCATTTTTTTTTTTAGATTTTTTGTTAATTTTTGAACAGTCAGGAGTTCTCCTCTTAAATCAAAGTTGAAAAAAATGGAAAATACATAAAAATACCTGCGCAGTGAACATGTGGAGAAAAAGAAAAAGATAGAATAGGTTAAATTAAAAAATTGATTTAAAAATCCCAAAAAGTGCGCCAAAGACTATATTTTTACTTTAGAGCCTAGTGTGAAATCAAAGTAAAAAAAAAATGATACCCAGGGACTTTTTTGAATTTTTTCAGCTTCCGGAAGGAATATTTTTGGAGTTGATTAACTTTAGAAAAAAACAGAAGAAAAAAAGAAAAATTTTTTTAAAAAAACGGCTCAGAAAGTTTAAAAAAATTCTCAAGTTTTCTTCCACATCAATTAAATATATCGAATTCTCGGAAATTATCATAACTTCAAAAAAATTATAAAAATAGTTAGGTTTCTCGACTTTTAATTGGCTACCAAAATTAAGAATTTTGTAACCATGTCAAATAAATAAATTTAAAATAACAAATAGAAGTCGTGTTTGAGATTCAAAACTTATTTTAGTGGCATTCCAATGCACCGGCTCTCCGCTTTGAGACACTTCCGAACTCTGCTATGCGGCTTTAAAAACGCTAGAAAAGCTTTTAAAAGGACTATAGCAACAAAAAAACAAAGTTCTGCGTTTTATTACAGTGATCCCAGTAGCTTATTGTTTTGCTCCTCCGCCAGATGTGAAGAAAGACTTCTGGCGTTGCGCAATTACCGTAATAAATCTCAAAAGTGTGATGGGATGCGTATGTAATCAGATATCTTAAGTTGGAAGGTTAAGACGAGAAGAAACATATGAAGCTTCTTCCATAGGCTTGCCTTTTGAATTTTTTTGGAGATAATGATCCATTTTTCGCATCTAAAAAAGATCTAGTGTCGCAAAGGCACGATAAAATAGTTCAAAATTCAAAGCGACTTCAGGATATTTTTTGGCCGTGGTCAGAATGGCTAAATGAGTTGCTAACCAAAAATCTTAAAGGCATAGGGGCAGTAAAAAACGGGTTTCAGGTGAAAACAGTATCTTGTTCACCGTTCGATTCGCAATGAAAAACTCTACAAAGTGCTGCTTTGAACTAAACCGTTTTTTACTGCCCCTATGCCTTTTAATACCAGCGCGCGAAAGTCGTTTTGAAGTCGGTTGAAATCGCATTTAAGGCTATAAAAAATACGTAAAATGTTTCATTTAGATTATTGGTCCTTAGTCCTGTTGATTGACCTTTTTTGATCTAATTACCATGAAAACCGGTAAAGTTACTCTAATAACACAACACTTACACCTCATATTTAATTAGGCTAAAGTGTAGTTTTTTTGACACCCCTATTGGCATTAAACAGTAACTCAGGAATTCTTTTTCGGCCACAATCTTCCTTGTTGAGGCGGAAGGGTAGTTAGAAAAGTACATTTTTAATTATTGCAGTTGAATTTCCTCAGTAAAGAGCAGAAGTCTTTGTTTTCTACACAGGGATGAGCTTTAAATCTTTGAAAAATTTGATTTTAAAAAAATTCTAAAAGTTCTCTAATAACTTCGGAGTTATCTGAAGTACGCCTCAGCCGAGTTTCAGAAAAATCTGAAGACTTGTATTTTTACACTGACTTTGTTAGCAGGATACTGTGCAAAAACGGGAGGTTTAGACAACTCGATTGTACTTTTGCCCAGCCAGAGGTGAACGAATTTTCTCCCTTTTGCTGGACAGTTGCTTGGAGCTTCTGTTTTTTTCTGGGATCTGAGGAACTGCCTCAATTTATCATTTGACAGTTGTTACCCTCTTCTCGATGAGCCGTTTATAAAAAAAACGTGATTGATTTGGAAAGTGTACGAGTTTTACTACGTTAATGTGGTTCCAATTTTTATTATGGGTAACTTTAATGAATAAAGAGCTTTTTGAAAGGAAAAATAATCTGCTAAACGTCAGGAAGGGCTAAGAACAAGTAGGTCAAAAATGTTTTTCTTTGGTTTTTTTTTTTCGATAAAATCAATTCTTTCGTGTTGAGCTTAGCACAATGATTCCTTGAGAAAAAAATTTGAAGGAAGTCAGATTTTAAGCAATTTTTCGTTTCGAAACACTTTTAATAGTCCTGTGATCCTTAAATTATTTTTTTCCTCGAACTTTTCAATGTTTTCCCTTGTGAAAAGTTTACAACAGTTCTGCGTCTTGAACGTTCCAAATTAATCACGCCTGTTTATACTCGGCTCATCGAGAAGAGGGGCAACAACTGTCATATGATTAATTGAGGTTGGTCCTCGAGTCCCAAAAAATAGAAGCTTTGAGCAACTGCCCAACGAACGGGAGAAAATTTGTTCACCTCTGGCTTGGGCAAAAGTACTATCGAGTTGAATAAATCTCTTCTTTTTGCGCAGTCTTTTGCTGATCTTCTGACAGGGGTAGTGCATAAATTCAAGTCTTCAGGTTTTGCTCAAACTAGGCTGAGGCTTACTTTAGATCATTTGGAATTCAGTTACGAAAATTTTTCCTTTTTTGGCAAGGTACAGTTCCGTCAGAAAAGATACCAAAAAACTGGGGTTTCGGTCAAAACTTTCTTGTGAGGAACTCAGTCTTTTTGAAACTTCCTGGAGTTGTGATAACTGTTATTTTTAAAACTCTGATAAATTTCCAGTTCACAGAAAGAAATGTAGCTTCAGAAACTCTCAAGGAGATTGAAATCCATACAAGAAAGTTGTGACCGAAACCCCGTCTTTTCGTATCTTTTCTGACGGTACTGTATAGAGCTTCAAAGCTCACCGTTGTAGAGAAAATGAGTGATTTTCGGCGTTTTTCAGGCGCTTCAAGGGATTTTCTTACAATAAACTGTGTTTTCAAAATTTGCTGGACTTTTTCAAGCACAAAAACGTGACTTGTGTTCAAAACAAGAATTTTGTAGCTGTCTTCAATATAGGAAAGCGAAAGTCGTTTTGAGTCGGGCACATCTTCAAAGTCGACCAACTTTATCCAAATCAAGAAAATGCTCCGTAGCTAAAAGGTCATTTTCCTCTGTTTCTCTGGCGGGTCTCTGTAAAGTAGGCGTGGCCAGAAGGCCTCCGTTGCCCCGCCCCTCTCTTCCTTCACTCTGGACGGTTCGAGCCGTCGTCAGCGTCCGCTCCGCTTTTTCCTTTTTAATTTCAATTTTTAGGTTCTTGTTTTATTTTTCTTTTTTTTCATCTTAATTAGTTGTCAGATTTTCGAGAGAATATTTAAAAATTAGGCATCTAGTTCTTTTTCCCAACTCTTTTTGTGCTGAAGAAAGAACCCGTTTTTTTCGAAAAAAAGGATTTTTTTCTGATTTTCTCCATGTAGATTTTTTTGAACAAGTAGGTTTTTGAAAAACTTTGAATACTTCTAAAATAGCTCAGCCTTCTTTATTTTTCAAAATTCTGAGCCTTTCAAGTACTTGATTCTCTTGTCCTCACAGCCATTAAAAAAAAAATTAAAAACAGAAAAAATTTGAAGGCTGCAAATTCCTGAGATCAACGCATTCGGGATTGATTTTACTCTGGAAAAATATTCGAGAGATTGAAAATTTACTAAACTCTTGAAATGAAATGTCACACGGACACTGCTGAGAAACGTATTTTTTTTTCCTTCTTTTAAGCCGATTTCATGGCTCTTTTGGTGACCTATTCAACTGCAATTTGCTGAGCCGAGAGTCGCCGGAGTATCGTATGAAATTG